GAGGACAATCTTGTGTGTGTGTGTGTGTGTATCAGAGGACAATCTTGGGGGTGGATCCTCTCACATTCCACTCTCTTCCTTATTTTGTAAGGCAGGCTAACTGTGTTTGAAGTTAGTCTGCTCTGGATTCCCTGCCTCTGCCTCCCAGCTTGAAGGAGAGGTACTGGAATTTCAGACAGGTGCTATGGTACCCACCTTCACAATGGTTCTTCAAATGAAAACTCCAGTCCCCACATCTGCATGGAGCCCCTGAATCATCTCCCCAGCACTCAATGCAGATGTTCCTAACTAACATCTACTCACATGTTAGCCAGAGGGTAATCCTGGGAAACTCCGGCACCTCCGTGCACCTGGATGGCCCAGTCAGCTATTTTGCAGACGGCTTTGGGGGCAGCCACTTTGATCATGGCAATCTACATAAGCAAGATAGGAAAAGAATGTTCTTCTCTCGGAATGTGCAAATCATGGCAGGATTTGTTAGAATTGATATTTCTCTGTCAAGTAAAACAAAAAACTGTCCCCACACCCAAGTCATGTCAAAAACAGGATCTGTCTGTGGTGGAGGCCAACAGAGGGCTTCAGCTACGGCTGTATTTCACTCAGCAGAGACCTTCTGGAAAGGACTCTCACTTCCAGATCACATTTATTTCTAAGTATCCTTGTTTCCAAAAGGATTTCAGGCAGCTTGTAAATCATACTTGGAATGTTTATGCTCCATTAATCAGTTCTTTTCTTAGAAATGTTCTGGGCTTTCAGAATGAGTATGTCCTTATTCCAGATAAGCTGAATTCATGAAAGGCAGGGGGCAATTAGTTGTCTTTAATGGAACATTTATAATGTGGCAGAGTCGTTCCTACAACCCATACCCATCACCTAACTAGCCCGAGGCCGAATGCAGAGAGATGCTAGACACACTGGACACAAAGCTAGCAGGGATGCAGTGGGCACCGTCAACTCCAGGGATATAGAAAGCCTAGGACTCCCCCAGCCCCTGTGGCCTCATTCCAACAGTTAAGGCATTCTGCCTCCTGAAAGTCATCCCCTCAGGCAGGCCACTGCAGGAAAGCCAGCACAGGACTGACATTCACAGTCTTTAAACCAAAACCCCACGTGGAGACTTCCTGTATTCTGAGTGCTATCCTGGGGGGCATGAACCCTGAAACAGCCAGTGGGTGGGAGATGGAGAAGACCCGGAGGCTGGTGATGCAGGGGTTGGAGTAGGGTGGGTAGCTCACCTCCTTCCTGGCTGAGGCACTGCCCAGAGTGTCTATGCTGTGAGCTGCCTTCAAGGTCAGTAAGCGGATCTCCTCGATGGCTATGCGGCTTTTAGCAATCCAGTGAGCCACGACTTCCTGTAGGGGAGCAAGGGAAGGATCAGTGGGGTCTTGTTTGATAAACCTTTCCTAGTTCAAAGGGAGTTCACAAGCCTGGCTGCGTGTATCTTTGAGTTAGAGTCCTAGCTACAAACCTGTTGAATATCACAGTTACAATGAGAAGATTGTAGAAAGAAGCATTAGTCACTCAAAAGACACCCCACTTATTTTAGATGTTTTAAAATTTGTGTGTGTGTGTCTTATACCATGATCTCCAAACTCTGGCTGCCAGGCATGGTGGCAGGTTCCTATTTTGGATATATATATATTTTTTAAATTTTTTACTGATTCTTGGTGAATTTCACAGCATGCACCCCAATCCCACTCCTCTCCCCATCCCTACTGGCCCTCTGCCCTTGCAACCTCCCTAACAACAGACAAGAGAAAAAACATGATAAAGAATAATAAAACAACAACAAAATTCAAACCAACCAAACAACCAATCTTTACGTGTAAACGTTCATTGCAATAACTCATTGCTCTGGTTCAAGGTCCCTGGCTTCTGCCACTATCAACGCTGGATCCTCATCGGGACTCCTCTGGAATACCCTGTTGTTGCCCCGTGTCATGGAGATCCTGCAGCTTAGGATCTTTAGAAGCAGGAGTTTCTCCTGCTCCACCAGTTCACAGATGGGGTAGACGTTGGGGTGGGCCAACTCAAAAGTCCTGAATGTGGGCTCTAAGCTGGTCAGCCTGCCAGCTCTCCTGCACCCACACCACCAGAGTGAGCTCTCTAACACTGCACTGGCTAGCTCACCTTTGGGTAAGCCACATCCGCTTACCTTCCTGCTGCAGCACTGGGTGAGCTAGTCAGGGCACTGACACAGACTCCTCCTGCTGGACGGCCATGGACCCAGATATGGCCCTCAGTAGTAGCATGGGCCAGGATTTCACCATGGCCTCAGGTAGCAGGCTATGCTACTCACATCAGACTGTTCCTCTCTGCCCTTGCCAGTTCTGCCTGTCTCCATAGTGATGAGACATTCTGCTTCTCTTTCTCTCCCATCTCTCCTACATTCTTGTAGTGTAGTGGCTCCCGCTGTGCTCGGGCCACAAATGGGGTGGGTCTCTGGGTGTCCTCCATCCAGCTGTGTAGCATGGTGGCTGGCCAGCTTTTTATTTTGAATATCTAAATGTCTGATGTCAAGGTGGCTGAACAGAGCAACTGCTTTATTGCCACACTTCCCTTGGGTCCCATGTGACTATCATTCACAGGCTCTTATTGAAATTCCATATATACACACAGCGGAGGAGCTGGCTCTAATCAGACTACATTATTCCCAACACAATTTCAGATGACCCGGCAGCCCTTTATTGTGATGTTATTTATTTAAAAAGACCTTTCCCATGCTTAGAAAAGTGCCTCATGCCTTTTAACAACAGTACTAGGGAAGGACAGGCAGAAGAATCAGGAGTTCGGGGCTAGACCGGGTTACATGAGATCCTGTTTTAACAAAACAACCAAGACTGGAGAGAGAGCCTGGTAGCCTGGTTAAGAGTACTGGCTGCCTTTCCAGAGGAACTGGGTTCAATTCCAAGCACCCATATGGCAGCTCATAATTGTCTGTGACTCCAGTTCCAGGGGATCAGATGCTCTCCTATTCCAGTACACATGTAGGCAAAACACCTATACCCGTAACAGACAAATAAACATAACCCACCTCCAAACAAGCAGAAGCCCTCAGAGGAGGATGTTCTAAGAGTCTCCCTCTCTCTCTTTCTCTCTCACACACACACACACACACACACACGTACACGCACACGCACACGGGCACTTCAAAGCCTCCACTGACAGACCACCCCCACAGCCTTGCCTTTTCCAGGGTGCCGTGCAAGAAGATTATCTAGCATGTATCTGATGCAGAATGGCTTCTTCAGCTTCTTCCACCCAGTGTAAATGCTTTGACTTCTGCCCATGACTTTCTGCTTACTGACAGCCATCGATGCTAGCTGCTGAGAATGACTCCATTCTGGAGAGGAGCGTAGTCTGTTACCCAGTCATCTGCCATGGGACGTCGGGTCATGCCGACTTCTGATCCATGGAGTCTCAATAAACATTTCTATATAGCCTTTGGTATGAGTATATGTTCTTCATTTTTTTGTTGTTGTTTTTGTTTTGTTTCATTTTTTAAAGCAAACACTAGATGTAGAATTGTCACTGGCTAACATTTATAAGAAATAGTTGGCTTAAGTGGTTGTACCATGTAGTGTTTACACCGGCTGACTATGACAGTCCTGGATATTTCCCAAGCACTGAGTACTGTTAGGAATCTTTCAGTCAGAGGTATTTCATTGTGGATCCAGCCTACATTTTTTTAATGCTTGGCGCTTTGATCCTCCTTTGATGTATTTGTTTGCCACTGATAAGTCTGTTCATGCTTTAAAGAAACATTCTTGAGATATGACATGGCAAAAATGTCTGAGTCTGGAGTAGCTGAGACTGGAGTAGCTGAGACTGGAGTGGTTGAGACTGGAGTGGCTGAGACTGGAGTGGCTGAGACTGGAGTGGCTGAGACTGGAGTGGCTGAGACTGGAGTAGCTGAGACGGGAGTAGCTGAGTCTGGAGTAGCTGAGACTGGAGTAGCTGAGACTGGAGTAGCTGAGACTGGAGTGGTTGAGACTGGAGTTTAACGAGGAGAGAAAAGTGAGAGGATCCAGTCTAGCTTACTTCAAGAGGAGTTGTCAAAGAATGTGAGGGGCTAGAAGAGAGACTCAGGCGAGCTCACACAGAACAGAGGTGCAGAAACAGAACACCACCAGCATGCCCGGCGGCCTCTGTGGAGGCACAGGAGTGTTTAAATGGAGGAAGGATGCCCTCTCCAACAAACACCGGAGCAAATGAACAGACAAAGCAGGAGTCTGAAGACCCATCCCTTAGAGCCAGACTACCCCGCTCTGTGCTCCAGAGCAGTGGGGCACAGAGCAAAGGACCCCAAACTGATGCCCAGACATGGGCCACCAGGACAACGCAACAAGTGGGAGTTCACTAAAATCGAATGGGAAAAAACATCACATGGGGAAATACCTGAAAACCACAGAACTGATAAAGTACAGTGCCCAGAATGTAAAAATCACTCATAGAAACCACCAAATCATCCAGGTAGACAATGGACATCAGACACGAGCCCAAGTCCAAGGGAAGGATAAGACAAATTATGACAAGAAACCCTGCTAGACTCACATGGATTAAAGCAGTTTGGCAGATCATTACAAATCAATCAGGATGCCTAAAGAAAGAAAACTGTGACATCATCACGTGCTGGGGGCGGTGCGCAGCTTGTGAGCTCAATACAATGATTGCATCGCCCAGAAACTGTTCTTATGGGCATTCCTCTCAGATAAACGGTAAGTTAGTAGTCACAGGAACACCTAATACAAGTGGTTACACCAGCTTCATAACAACCAGACCCATAAAACCATAAACGAGACAGGTGTCCCTCAGCAGATGCTTAGCTCACTGGAGGGATGTCTAAGAGATGCTGCTCGGCAGTACAAAGAACCAGCTACCAAATCCCACAGCTTGGTGATTTTCCAAAGAACCATGACTGAGGAAAACAGCCAAGCCCTAAGGCTTACTTACATACTATATAATTCCATGTCTGGATGAAAAAAAAAATGACTTAAAATGGAGCAGATTATGGGTTGCTGGGAGCCAGTGAAGATACAGAGTTGAGAGTGAGGTGAGTTTAGTTCATAAGAGGATGGCATAAATGAGCTGGTGGTGATGGAGATCTTGCAGCTGAATGGTATCCGTGGCAGCATCAGCATCATTCTGATGTGCTTCTGTAGCTTTTCAAGCTGTTCCCACTGAGGAGAACTGGGCAGAAGACCAGACCTTTTGGCACTATCTCCTATATCTGCATGAGTGGCTATAATTATCTCAAAACTGAACAGTAAAAATGAGTACTTGTTTCTCCCTTATCTCTGTGAAAATCCTCTGAGCTTCTGTCAGTTGTCAGAAGTGCATGGATTATGGCTTCATGTGCCATAAGTCCCAGATGCAACAGGGCATTCATAACCCATTCCAGGTGATCAAAATGGATTTTGGGGTTTCCAATTTGAAACACAGAACTATTGTTCACGGTGTTTCCTAAGCCTCATCAGCAAATTCCAGCATTTGATTCAAGCAGCGTGATTTCCCACAGTCATCTTCCACTCTGTCATCTTTCTTCAAGCACCCGTGGCTTCTAAGGCCTGAAGCATGTCCAATGTGAATGGAAGTGTACTATGAAGTGTAAAATGTGCACTCCATCTTAAAACAGAAGCCACCCCATCTGTGTTCATATTGATCTCATTGTGATCGCACAGATTGGGCCAACTGAAAATATGTTTTCAGTGAGCCTCATCTGCTTCTTTTTACTTTTCAAAAACCGCAGCCAAAGTCTCAGCATGGTGGTGTTCTGTGGCCCCAGTGCTCAGGTCAGGACGAGCCTTACAGGTGGAAACAGGCTCGGGATTCATTTCCTGCAAGCTGCCAGCGGCCAGTGAAGTTTTTGATGAATGAAAAACAGGGAAACCACAACTTCATGAACAGACTTAAATGTTTTCCCGTCTTAGTTTTTAGAACAAAGGATCGAGTTCCCAGCTGAGTCCCCTCAGACCCCAGATTTGCTGAAAAGCACTGAAGGGTGAAAATGGAAAGCTCCAGGAAACAGCCAAGTGCATTGACTAAGATGAAATTCCATTTCAGAGCTGGAATACTTTAGAAGGCGGCTGGAAGGAGTCTCCGCATTGAGGGAAACAAAAATGTCATTTTTACAAATCTTGAAGAGAAAAAAACAGCTGGGGCAGATTCTTGTTTATGACTTGCTTACCGTCTCCTTTTGCTTCCACCAACTCAATTAATTCAAGCCAGATGTGAGAGGGTTCCAGCAGAAAGAGACACGTGGGTATCATGCCCTCACGGTGTAGCGGGATATATTAAAGGGCAGGAGAGATAGCCTCTCTGGTGTAGCATTAAAACAGCACTTAAGTCAGGTATGAGGTGCAGGCCTTTAATCCCAGCACTCAGGGGGCAGAGGCTGAAGCAAGCAGATCCCTGGGTTTGAGGCCAGCCTGGTCTACAAAGTGAGTTCCAGGACATCCAGGGTTATAGAGAAACTCTGCCTCGAAAAAACAAACAAACAAAAAAACAACCCCCCCAAACAAAAGAAAACAAACTGACAACCACAACAAACCCAAGCACACCAAACACCACTCAGAAGCACCTAGGCAGTCCTCCCTCCCCTTGCACCAGGCTCACATGACAAGTTGCCAGGATATGAGGAAAAGATCATGAGCATAAAGCAAAAGTTCCTTTTTTAGCAGCAATAGGGCTACATCCATTGTGACCCCACATCTTCCCACAATGCTCCTCAACCACGGGCTTCCCCACAAACTGTATGGTGTCAGAAGACTGGCTGCACTCTTCTTAAAAACAAACCACGTTAATGTTGAGTGAGCTCAGACTCTCAGGAATATCAGTGATAAGTAACTGTTGCCATTGTGTTCTGCAGACCCCTCCTTCCCACCCCCTGCTGCTACAACACTGCAATTGTAAGGATTAGTATGTCTGCATCCATGCTGCTCTCAGAACCAGCACTGAAGAGGGAATACCTCACGAGACATAAACAGCCCATAAAGGCCTAAGTGGAAGCTGAGCGTGGCTGCGTACGCCTTTCAATCCTACTTGGGAGGCAGATGCAGGTACATCTCTGTGAGTTCCAGGACAGCCAGGCCTACACAGAAAGACTCTTGTCTCAGAAAAGCAAAAAACCAACCAACAAGACAAACCACCAAGCCTAAGCAAAAAGCTGCTGCAAAACAGAGGTCGTAACAGAGGTGCAGGGTGCAGGAGTGGGGTGGGGGTGGGCTCATAAAAAAAATACACCTATGCAGCAAACACAAGCTGGGCCTAATACTAGCATGTGAGGAAAGGTAAACACTCAACACTGAGTTTTCTTGCCTTCTTAAAAGTTAAGAGTGTCTTATGGGTTGTGACTTGGCTATCCCCCATCTTACAGAAGGTTCTCCAGAGTCTGCAGCCATACCTCTTCCCTCTCATGACACACATGATCTAATCTCGCTGTCTATTTGTACCTGTGTTTATAGTGAGTTGTAAGTAACAGACTCAACAGTATACAATTTATATAAATGAAAATTCAAAAATCATGTACCTCCCACCAAATGCTGGTCCCATTTCTACGTCTCTCCATCAGAATCAGCCTGTTCCATTTTTAAAGTCTAACATAGACCATCCCTTCTTTCTCACTATTTTCCTAGACGTTTACACTTATCTGTTTTAATTTCTTCCAGAAACCCAAAGGGCAGGGCATGTTCTTTTTCTATGACAGTCCCAAGTCTTCAGTGAGCTGTGATGTCCCAGGCTCTCCAGAGAGCTTGAGTCTGAGAGGGCCGAGGCCACCCTCACATCTGTGTGCTGGGGGCTGAGGCATGGGGCCTGGTTCATCTCTCACAAGGGGAGATGCAGCTTCTCCCCCAGGACCCAGCCACACCCACAGCAGAAAATCCCATGCTCCCGCAGAGGAAGCCTCTCGGGCATGGATGCTCTCCCTAAGGTCAGCATGGCTTAGTGGGCTACAGCAGGCTCAAGGATGTGCTCCTCCTTACATGTTCACAGAGCTTCTTCTTGAAGGCCTCCCTCTGCACTGCCCGGTCACACATGATCTGCAAAATGCGTTCTGCCAAACCCACGGTTCTCATACAGTGGTGGATTCTTCCGGGTCCAAGGCGGCCTTGGGAAATTTCAAAGCCCCTGCCTTCACCTGTGAGGAAGCAAACAGAACATGGAGATGCCCCAGCCAGTCTCTTTTATCTACATAAAGGTGGTGGGGGGGAAAGAGCTGAGCTGCTCTCAATACAAATACAAACTGCCTTCTGCTGTGGAAAGAGTCAATTCTGCAACAACATTCACTAAGATGGAGGGAATTCGGATTCCAATCTAATGTAAGGACTGTCTTGTGACTAAGTGTCAGCTGCTTTATTAAGGCTACATGGCATCAAAGGTGGAAGAGACACTGCCCCTGCCTTAGGGATCAGAGTTCAGAAATAAAGGACATGCTTATGCTGACACAGACAGACAAGCAAAGGCAAAGGAGGAACAGATTGTCCTCCATGGTGATCCCAGGGCCTGTGTGTGTGTGTGTGTGTGTGTGTGTGTGTGTATGTGTAAGGGTGGTGAGAAACAAGAATACTCTTTGAAGGTTGGGGAGGATTCCTGTGAATGGAAAGATGGTGTCATCCCAGGCATGTAATGAACATTTTAAATGTTATTCTTTTTATTCTGTCTTGGATCTAAATTCAAAGAAAGTATCAACATTTTATTAAAACCACTAGGGAGCCCTTGACCACACCTTCAGCGTGTTGCTCTGAACTGGGTAATGTTTGTATTCAGCTATGTTTCTGGCTGATATAAAATATAAAACTGTCACTAAACATTCAAATAAGCCCAAGTCACCCGAATAAGAAAATACACAAAATGAACATTCTCCTTGATAGTTGGGAAAATATGGAAAGAGTCTAAATCAAGGCTGGATCTTTTCCAGCTGCAGACCTGGGACTGGGATGGCAATACTCACCCAGTATTAAATTGCTGGCTGGAACGCGCACGTGATTAAAATGGACCTCCCAGTGCCCGCCATGCACGTTGTCTACACAACAGAAAATGACAGTTTAAAAACGCAAAATCAGTCGAGCAAAGAAGTCATAGACAGCGACTCTGCTGTAAAGTCTAATTATTCAGAGAAAGTTGCATTTGAAAGATATTGTGGTCATCCCAGGGTCAAACTCAGCCCATAGTCCTCAGCCCTCAGCACCCGGTGTTGCAGCAAACTCAACTGCTGGCGTGAGAAGCAGTCTCAGGAACTATTTGATATGGAGATTTTAAAATCTGTCGTCTGAAGTCGCAGAGTAACGGAAATGGAGGGCCAGGTCCCCTGTGTGCATCATGGATGATGTCAATTTGGTTTATCCATCTGCTTCATTCATCCCCTTGAGCAGAGCCATTGTCAATCATCAGGCATTGATTTCCAGAATGAGAAAATAAGAAACTCCAGCTGCCTTACTCACTCTCAAAGTTTTTAATGTTGACTCTTTTTTTTCCCCCACAGTTGAAGTTTCCTTTCTGAGTATACAAACACACATGCAGAGAAGCCTGCCAGCCAGTACTGTTCCCCCAGGACAGCCTGCCCTTTCCTCGGTGTAAACAAGGAGGCAGGAAGCTGTGCTGCCGCCCACCCGCTTATCTGCTCTGTCTGGACCTTCCCTAGCATTCTAAAGAGCTAATGGGCCAAAGGGATCTCTAAGGGAGCACGGAATGCACATAGTGCTGCTGCTGGCTGCCTCCAGTGTTCCTGCAGTCTTCCTGCTTGTTCCTGAACACTTACCCATGTAGCCAAACACCGACAAAGGCCTTATTAACTCTACTCCCGGTGTGTCCATTGGCACAAGGATCATGCTGTGCTGTTTGTGTCTGGACAAAAGAAAACATCATTGGAGAGACTGCTAACAGTTGAGGTGACCATCTTCGTCTCCATGAGATCAGGTGATGGAGGATGACTGGAATAGCGAGCATGTGAAACATATACTTAGCCTGGGCTGACACAGGCTGTGAGCTAGACCAGAAGCAAGAGTTCAAAGCTGAACAAAACCTGAGGCTGCTCCCTACTCAACAATGCTAGAGGACAACTCCAAATTAAGCATTTGAAGGCAATCGCCTTTACTACACACAACTGCCTTTAATTCAGACAGCTCTGAACATTTGTATTTCTCTCCCTCTCTTCTACAGTACCCATGACTGAACCAGGGCCTTGGACCTGACACCCACTGAACACTGAAAAATTTCATTTCTAACCAGTTTATCCAAACATCTTTCAAGATTCATAAACAGTTTACCCCCTCCCCCCCCCTTTTTTTGTCTCACTACATAACACAGGCTGCCTGAAACTTCCTGTGTGGAGCAGGCAGGACTTGACTCTGATCCTCCTGCCTCTAATGCCTCCTGAGTATTGAGATTACAAGCCTGCACCACCAACCCCAGCAGCTCTTCTCTGATGCCTCACTCCCTAGATTGCTTCCCAGATGGATTTCGACAACAAACACTTGGGATACAGACACACGTTAGTCATTAGTGTATCTTGCACTATGGTAGGACGTCCACGTGGTACTTTTTAAGTGAATGGGCAGAAGGACAGCCTGGTGGCTCGTCTTCTGTGGCCCTTTCTATTAGCAGTGTTTTATTACCTGGATGTAGAGGGAGACTCCGTTTTTCCCAAAACAACTGCGATTTTGCACTTGGGGTTCCCAGCTCCTAAGAACAGGAGAAAAGGGGCAGAGAAAGCAAAGGGAAAGCTCTTATGTTACATTCCACTCTGAAGGTTCTACACCCTCCAAGTTTATTTCTAGTCAAAAAAGGGAGAAAACGATTTCATTCATTAAAACAATAACACTTTGTACATGCTGTGCATCATTCAAGAGACAGGATTAGGCAAGGACCAGATTGGACTCCACTGGTGAAGCTGCTATGCCAAAGTAACCAGATGTTAAAGAAATGTGGAACAGCTGTGATGTTTGAGGCAGAGGTGACCATGCCCACTCATGCCACTGGGAGCACTGGCTCACTGGAAAGGCTGTACAGCTTTATATGTCTGAGATAGTATCCTACAGGTTCTGAGCCTGTCTCTAGATGGTAGGGCTATTTATTGGTTCATTAAGGGTGAAGATTAGACAACAAAGTTATTCTAATTTGAGTCTTATTTTGTAATCACGTTTTTAAGGTCTGTGAGGATTCCTCCTTAGGACCTTGCAAAAGCACACGGAAGGGCCAAGGAGATGACTTAGAGGGCAAAGGTAAAGCCAAGACAGACAAACTGACTCCTGCAAGTAGGTTGTCTTCTGATCACCATACATGTACTGCGATATCATACACACATGTGCACACATACACATGCAAGGTGAGAGTGCCACCAGAGAGAAGAGAAGGCTTGGGATGGTGAGGTTGTGGGGGTGGGGGTTGGGAGGGCATGGTCCTTCAAAATAGGGGTCTGCTTTTCACAGAACTTTCATCTGAAGCGCCGAAAGACCTCACATTTGCGTCTGTGGCTCTTAAGAAGCAGCAAGCAGAACGAAGCGGGTACAACTCTGTAGCTCTTGCAGGCTTCAATCTAACTGAGAGACACTGGGGAAACAGGATACTATACATTGGAAGCAACCTGCAAATGAAAACTGAGCTGGAAGTTTTTCCAAAACCAATCTGGGAGGCTTCAAAATGGCAGAATGGTGTCTGCCTCCCAACACCATTGGGATTCTCACTGAAATAAAGATGTAAAAGTACAGTGAAGGGAAAAACGTAAAGAGAAGGAAATGGAGGAGGTGAAGCAGGATTGAGGTGTTAGTGGCCACTGAAAGATGAGATTCCAATATCTGGGTAACAGGTGAGGGCAAGAGGACCAGGGAAATGAATAGAGATACAGGTGTCTAGACAGTGACATAGATCCTGCAGAGGGACAGGGCAAGGATGTAAGTAGGAAAATAAGGCAATCTTCATTCTCATTAAAATGACAGCTGGGAGGAGGAAATACTGAGTTCACTACACAGATATCAAATGACATCATTCTGACACTGGGAAGCTGGAGTTGAAGCCAGCATCCCATCAACCCAGCATCCCATCTGCCAACTCTAGGGGATCTCAAGGCTGCTCCACTAAGAAGCTTCTTATGGATTGCTACACAGGAAAAAAATGTGCCTGGGAAATAATTCAATGTTAGTAACATTAGAAAGCTTAACTTTGCTTCCTTTTCTCATAAGAATAAATATAATATTTCAAAATATCAGTTACAAAGTGAAAACCCTAAAAGATTTCAGAGAGAATAAAACAAGGCACCTAAGAGGAAAGAGAGTCTATCCTTGAGATCTTTTCACAAACTGCAAGGGATGCTGGATGAAAAGACCATGACCAGAATTCTATACCTATCTAAACTATCCACTTTTGTGAGAGTAGAATAAACATACACATCAATGAGTAAGATTTGATAACTTATCTAGTATGCACTTTTTTTTTCCTCAAAGAGTTGATAATCTAATCAAGCAAACTAAAGGAACAAATAAAGAAAAGGAAGCCAAAATATTAAAAAATAGTATATCTCAGTGAAGTGATGCACATAAATCCTAGGCACTGAAATGTGCCTATAAAACAATCAGTCTAGACTGAAAAAGAAACACTGGTGTCTATAGAGGTCTCTGGGGAAAAAAAAGCCAGTCTGCAGAATTAAAGGAGCATGTGTAAGAGCGGGAGATATAAAAGCAAATAGCAATTAGAAACTGGAAAATATCTAGTGTACATGTGAACCATGGTCCCAATACAAAACAAACTATACCGTGGAATAATTTTAAATGTTAGGAAGCTGAACTAACAAACCTCAACAGTAGAAAGTCTCTTTGGAGCAGCCAGGTAGTTTGCTCATGGACTCTAGCAGGAGACTCACAGGACACTGAGCAGTCCTCACCGCAGAGTGAGTGTTAAGTGCTGGTTTTGAAAGTTCTGGGTCACCCTCGGTCAACTCTAAGTGTGGTCACAGGAGAGAAGTCAGTGCTAGTGACCTGAGCTATGCACAGGAAGAAGCTGTAGCTGACATGGGGACAATGGAAGGAGGGGATGAAAGAATTTGGACCTTAAACTACAGAGGAGAGCTTGAAGAGACATCATTACACAAGGAATCAGAACCCTAAACTGCATTTAAAATTTCTGTGTGACTATAGCTCTGGCTGTCCTGGAACTCTCTTTGTAGACCAGGCTGGGTTCGAACTCACAGAGATCTGCCTGCCTCTGCCTCCTGAGTGCTGAGATTAAAAGCATGTACTACCACACCCGGTCCTAAAGTTAGACCCTTTTAAATTGGACTTATTTATTCCAATTTATTGATTTTGTTTGATATTTAACAGATATAAATTTATTTAATACTAAAATGCAGAGAGTTCCAACAGGAGCAGCCAAATTATCACCCTTTCCATTGGAGGGTGGATGACACCATCTTGATTATGTAGATGGGGAGTGGGGAGAACTCGGGTCACCTTGAACCAGGGTGGAAATCAGAAAGCTGTTACTGTTCTCCTCCGGGGCACACGCTGCCATGAGGCAGGACAGGGATGAGCAGGCTGGGAGATCTTTTCTTATTTGTTACCATTGCAACTAGACAAGAGGAATTAAAAAAAAAAAAGTATTAGCACAGCCAAGCAGGGTGTGGTTCCACATGCCTGCAATCCCAGCACTTGGGGGCTGAGGTAGGAGCATCCGGAGTATCAGACTAGGGTGTGCCACATGGTGAGACGGTTCAACTTTGCTCCCTCAAAATGATGAAAGAAAAGAAAAGCCCACCATCACATCAACAAATTACAGAGTCCTACTCGGAGCAGGAGACTAGATCTGGGTTTCTTGTCCTCTCCCAGTTTTCCTTTACTCTGAACAGAAAACTCCCAACAGTGGAGGAGCTATTTCCCGCTAGAGGGGCATTTCCTCACTTACAAGTGATTAGGTGTAATTCCAGAAATCCTACATGCATGCTTTGCCTGGTGAAATATTTGAACGGATTTTAAAAACACAAATGCTTTCTTCTCTGAAAGGGAGGGTTTGGGGAAGAAGGCAGAGAGCCTAAACTGAGTGGCTCCACCCATTCTCAGGCTGGCATCAAATCAAGGGCACACTTTGGCTGGTATTTGAATCATAGCCACCAGAACTGTCTGAACGTGCAGTCACGGAGGTGCACGCGTGACTTCTATGGGTGACTGTAAAGGGAGGTGTCTTCAAACTAACTCAAACAGGAAATTTAAAAAGCAAAACTAGCCCAAGAGATGTTACATTATTATTGGGTAATGAATACATTAAGTAAAAATTTCTTTCCTATTTTCCCTGAACACATGACTTATTGTCTACATTTTCTGTGCAATAAAATGTGGAGCCATTTTTCCAGCCTTCTGGGCATTTACAACACAATCTTATTACTAAATCCAATTGTTTCAAATAAAGGAAACTATTATGTTAAAAGGGAACGAATGTTTTTCGTTAAAAGAAAAAGGCAAGCACTTCTCCAAGTACTAATGAGGAAAATATGAAGTGACTGAAATAAAACGTGTTGCTAGGCCTCAAGTCGTCTGCTGTACTAGTGCTGGCGTGAGCACACTCGCTCTGTGCCAACCAATACCATGATTTAAATGTTAAATGTCCTCTCATGGCCCTGTGCCTCAAGGATTGGTGCCAAGGTAGCATTGACAGGAGGCAGTCGAACCATTGGGAGGTGGAGTTTAGTGCCAGTCATTAAGTCATGTGGGGAAGGGCACCATGGGACCCTAGACCTACCTCCTTCCCTGTTTGCCTCACGGCTACAAGCTAAGCCACACTCTACCTCTCCACTCTTCCCCACGCCTGCACCCCTCCCATTGCCATCCAGCATCTGCTCCAGGGTCCAGAGCAACAGGGCCATGTGGTCATGGATCACAGTCTCTAAGGCAATGAGCAGAAAGAAACCTCCCTTCTACACTAATTAGCTCAGGCCTTATCTTAGGGACAGATGGCTGACCAGCAAAACCAACAGGAAACGGGAGCTTTAGTATTTCTGGACTTTATTTTAAATGGCAACCTCTCTCCATCATTGTGGTCCGTAGCTAGAATTCCTTATCTGAAAATACACAGTGGGGAGATTTCTCTCCCTTTATTTGCCCAGACTCTGTAATCATGTGAAGTTATGCCTTTTAAAAAATCCTCTCCCCCTTCTTTCTTCCCTCCCCTCTGTCTCGAGGGGATGGGCAGAGAGTGCAGTGCAGATGCCCACAGAGTCTAGAGGAGTCAGCTTCCCTGGAACAGGTGGCTGGAAGCTGTCCGGTGTGGGTGCTGCTTCTGGAAAAGCAGTTTGGGTTCTTAACCACTGAGCAATCTTTCCAGCCCCCATGAAGTCATGCATCCACTATTAGAGATTAGAGAGTAAAATGCTTTAATATAATGGTTTACTTTGAATTCTTCAATAATATTTTTCTAGTAGAGCCGGTACCTAGAGGCCCATAAACTGTAAGGTTGAGTCTACGTGCCCCATATAACATACCACCTACTTGGTAAGCATTCAGCTGAAGTCAGATCAGGGTATACTGACAAGATTTAGGGTTCATTTTCATTACAAGTCTTATTAGAAACTGACTTCAGAAGTTCAGCCTGGACTGGAGATGTGGCTCGGGGGTACTGTGGTAGTCTATCATGCAGGAAGCTCTAGGTTAAACTCCAACACTGCATACAATAGGTAAAATAAAACTGGGAGTGGTGGTACAGACCAGTAGTCATAGCACTTGGGAGGTGGAGACAGGAGGGTTGGAAGTTCAAGGCCACCCTTGTAAGCAAAACAACCAGGCATAGTCTTCCCCACCACTCCTGGCGCTCACTCCAGCTTACAGCCTTCTAGCTACTATTTAGAATGTACACTCTCCTCTCCCACCCCTCCCCTGGCCATGTTTCCCAATACCATGACTTTAGAATGGAAAAGACTTAAGCACTTTGTCATATAAGCCCTCAATAGATTGCAGATGAGTTCTGAAGAAAAAACATTAGGCAAATACTTTTTTTTTGTTTTGTTTTGTTTTTTGAGACAGGGTTTCAATGTGTAGCTCTGGCTGTCCTGGAACTCACTCTGTAGACCAGGCTGGCCTCAAACTCGAACTCAGAAATCCACCTGCCTCTGCCTCCCAAGTGCTGGGATTAAAGGCATGCGCCACCACTGCCCGGCAGCCAAATACTTTAATTGTGCCTTAGCCATTACCGCATGGAGAAATAACTTGGAGTCTAAAATACAAAACACCTAACTTGCCTCTTTTGCTGACCATGAAGTAGAGGAAGTCAAGGTAAATATACAATGAATAAAAATTAAAGTATTTTGTAATTAATCTCCCTGATTCAGAGAATGAGATGCAAATCCTCATAAATACATCAGTTTCCTCAAGCTCCAGGCAGAATTTGGCAGGGGCAGCAGCAGGATCACCCTTCTAGAGAAGAGAACCTTCTTTATGTCATTTTAGTCATTGAACAGGATACACACTGTCAAAATGAGACAAGCTGTAGGAAATGCAGAGTCCAGGGAACATCACAGCATGTCTGTGGGTCACAGGCCTCTCAAATGAAAACAGATGCCCCAGATAAGGACGTTTGTTCTCAACACAGACTTGTACTGAAAGGCTGTTCAGGTGCCAGCATGCAGTCAGACTTCAGATTCTATTCCCCTGATGTTTGCTCATCAGCTTAACCTCTCATTTCTTAATTTCACACGGTTATCAATCAAAGGTCAGTTTCTTGCAGAAAGAAAGGTGACAACTAGCATTATCATGGCCTTTATGTTTATGACCCAAGCAATGTGTGAACACATGGGACCACACTGAGCATTAGTGAATGTATGTGAACACATGGCACCACACAGAGCATTAGTGAATGTATGTGAACACATGGCACCACACAGAGCATATTGAATGTATGTGAACACATGGCACCACACAGAGCATATTGAATGTATGTGAACACATGGCACCACACAGAGCTCAGCCAGCCACTGAGAGGTCTCGAGGCCATTTCTTCTAACAACATGGACTTTATGAAGCAAAAATACTTAAATTTAATTTGGCTTCAGCTCTAATATTCAAATAAGGATAAAAACATTATGAGTTAAGAAACATCCAATCCCATGATTAAGGGGAAAAATTTACCCGATGTGTTTTCTCAGAGCCCACGCCATTTTTATTAGGGAAAGCAAATCTTGGTGCACACTGAACTATCTCTTTAAAAGTCGATACCTAAATAATGATTATTTAGTAAGTGTTAAAATCTGGTGTAAATGGATCAAAATTAATTCCAAATAGATTAGAGTTGAAGTTTTCAAAAACTAAAGAACCTACAAATAACTGTGAAAAAATATTTATAGATCTTTGGATTGGAATTTTGAAATTTAAAACTATAAATGAAGTTGGGTATGCTAATGTGTACCTGTAATTCCAGTACTTGGTTTATAGAGACAGAAAAATCATGAGTTCAATTTCATCCTTGACTATATACTAAGTTCTAGACTAACCTGGGCTACATGAAGCCTCGGCCTCAAAAAAAAAAAAAAACCAACAAGAAAGATAGAAACAAATAAACAAAAAGCCAAACAACAAAGGAAACTATAAAACTATAAATAACAGAAAAAGATAAATTTTGTCAATATAAAGTTATTTTATGTTACAAAATAAAAGTAAATACCAAAAAAATTGAAAAAATATTTCATATTGAATTCACATGAATTCAACATGTAATATGAACACTAAACAAGAAGTTGGAAGGTTATCTAAGTAATGATGGTATAGCATGCAGTTCAGTTAAACATCCATTGCCAGGCAAAACAATGCCACCAGCAGAGAGCCAGGAAGTGGATACAGAGAGAGGCAGTTTGGGGACCAAGGGACATTGCTATGCTAAGACAGGAAATAATTTTTGCAAACCATTTGGAAAACTGAGACTCACAAGAATTCTGGGAAGAAAGGAAAGAGAGATTAGAGGGGGGAGAAAGCCAACAGAGGAACGTGGAGGGCTCTGAAGATGCCCACAGTGGGGATGCTCTTCTCCACCCTCTCACCTCATGTCACTACTCTTTCCTTCTTCCTTATTTGCTCATTACTTAATTGGCTTTGGTTTGAGTCAGGCTGTCACTGTGCAGCCTGGACCAGTGGTAGACTTGGGATCCTTGCCTTGGCATCCAGACTACTGGGATTACAAGCCTGAGTTACCACACCCAGCTACTTTTCATATCTTGTTGAAGTTTCCCATTACCACCAAGTCTCCTAGCTGTATCTGAAGAAATAAAAACCCAGCAGAGGCAGGGCTCTATTCACCATGACTCATACATAGGTGGAACTCAGAGCATCATGCCAGAAGCACTGGCTCAATCCAGATGCCCTTTATGTCCTGAGGGCTTAAGTCTGAAGAAAATGATTTCTTTTAAAATCAAAAGCTGTAAAGATTATTATAGACTTACAACTGGTTCACAAGACAGGGATCCAAGTTATAAGGAAATACAGTTTCTTAGGGTAGGGTAAACAAGGAGTAGGAGCACACACAGGTTAATATTAACACTGCCTAACAGGCAGCATCATGGAATACCAGAAATGTGTCAGAGATAGCAAGATGAAGTGGAAAAAAGTCTAACATTGAATATGTAAGTAAGAACTTTAGCCCTGGTATCAAAATGGAGGATGTTGCTCAAACTGACTGATCCACTGCTCCGTGAGTTTATTATCTGACAGGCTGGCATCATAAGTAAGTTATTACCATGCTTAAAATACACAGAGTACAAGTCAGCTGTGGAAGACAGAAAAATATTATGAAGTACTACGAGTGGGATGTGAGGTACTCTGGGAGCATCCTAGTTAGCTTCAATTGTCACCTTGACACAGCATAGAGTGATCTGAGAAGAAATCTCAGTGGAAGGATTTCCCAGATCAGATTGAAATATGCCGATGGGCATATCTGTGGGAGACTGTCTCAATTGTTAGTGGACATAAGAGAGAATAGCCCACTGTGGGCAGCACTATTCCCTGGGCAGATGGTCCTGTATAATCATGTGTTTTAACCATATTCACCCCACCCCCCCACTTTCCTTTCCTGTTCTCCTCTCCCACTGGTCCTCTTCATCTTCTCAGATATTCCCCACTGACCTTCAGAGTCTCTATATAAGAGACTAGTTTGTTTTTGGTTTTTGGTTTTTTTTTTTTTACATCTTGCTAATTTTGTTTGAAATAATCATAAGTCTTTCCAGTTCCCTAAAAATGATGCATCTTTCTGGTTTATGGCTGAGTAGAAGTCCACTCTGTGTGTGTGTGTGTATCTCTGTGTATCTCATATATTTTTCTCTCCTCTCCTCTCCTCTCCCTCCTTTCCTCTCTCTTTTGAGACCATGTCTCACAGAGCCCAGGCCAGTCTGGCCTCAAACTCAAGTGCTGGGATTCCAAGTATGAGTCAGTATACCTTGCTTATAGGGCACTGAGAACTGAACCCAGGCTAGGCCTCCACTCTACCCGCTAAACTACCCCTAACCCTACATTGTCTTTATCTATTCATGGATGTGCTTGTATCTCTGTAGTAAAATTGTACTAGCTTGGGTCTGGGAGGATGGCTCAGCAGTTGGGAACACTGACTGCTCTTTGAGATGACTCAGGTCAATTCTCAGCCCCCATATGGCAACTCACAAGTGTGGCTCCAGTTTTAGCAGATCTGACTGCAGGCCTGTGATACAGAGACATACAGGCAGGCAAGATGTCTACAACCGTTAACAAAACAAATGGTTAGCACCTGCTCAGAAACACATTATGTGCCTCTGTTAGTAACTTCACTTTGATGCTTAACACCGACTATGGTGGTAGCAGAGCTAAGCTGTTTTAGCTACACTGGGATGGTGCTTCCTCAAAGAGAGGTAGCTACACAGGCTGAGGCTACCTTGGCTCCCAGACATATCCTGGGGGAAATAAAGATGAAGGCACAGATGTTTCTTTTGCATGAATCAACACGGAGGCTGTAACAATCATTGAGGGAAAAGAAAAGGCTTGGGTCTAAAATAACTTCTGCAGGTGGACATTAAGGCCAGCTTTGCATGAGAAAATGGGGCAATGGTATGCAAATGTGAGGACCCAGACTAAGGGAAACCCGGCTTCCTTCTCTAAGGTGCAGTTGTTTGGCAGCCTGGGAAAACAGCCTCTTCACACAAGGGAGTTTGAAGGTTTGTATCTGGCCCTTGAGGAAAAGGTTCTAATAAAACAAGAGAAAGTCTTGAGAAACGCACACTTTGAACCACAGAGAGAATCCTGCAGTGAGCCAGGGCTCCGCTCCAGTAAAATAGGAAACTGAAATCGTGTTGTACGGAAACAGTAAGTCCTGCTGTAACTGCTTGATTTGTTTTTTTTTCAAAAAGATAACTTTATGGGTTAAAATCATTTTAGTTTTCTCTCTTAGACAAAATAACTTGGTCAAGTACTTCTGGAGCTCCCCCTCCCTCCCTGCCACCGTGCCCCACCCCTGGGGAAGGGCATGTGGCACTGAATGCTCAGTGTCTCTTTTGGCACCAAGGGTTGGTGAGCCACAGACACTCTCTTGTTCCCTCAGCTGAGTGGAAACGGACGATCCTGCAGTTTGAGAGCCAAACTGGAACTCCTTCCATCTGTGTCCCAGGACATATAGGAATTTGGATGGACGCCACAGGAAGGTTTCACAGAGCACTTAATCAAGTGCTCCGGGGCTTAAGTTTCAGGAAAGCTCTCTTGGATCCAAGATAAAGGCGGGGTGTAAAATTGAAAACAAGAGTTGCCTGAGTCAGAGAGGTCCTCTGATTTCCTCTGCGCTCCAGACGGCACCTCTCCCAGCTTAAACAGGTTGGTTCCTTCTTCTTTTTTTCCCCCTCTCCTTCTGACCTGAATCTGTGTTTCTGAATTCTTTTTTTAAGGCCAAAGATGTTTGTATTTTTATCTTAGTGGAGCATGGGGACTTGGTACTTGGTGCAGGAGAGTTTAAACATTTACATGTACCACAAAAAGCTATTAAGAGCATCTCTACATGAGTCTACCATGTAGAAGAAAGTGCTATTTTCAATACCATTGCTAATTTGTGCAATGTTGTCAGGGAGCAGACAGGGTTTACTAGATCACTGCTGTCTGCTCTTTAAAATAAAAAAAAATTTGTTCTTAAAATTATTTTAGAAAGCATTTAGTAGTGTTCTTACATGTCTGCAGAAGGATGCTCTCTGCAATCTCTTCCTACTCTGTCTGTCTTACACTGTTAAAAGTCAGCCTTATTCTCAAATACTCATGTTCTATTTGGCTCTATTGCTCTTCATCACAAAGTCCAAGATTTCTGGATAACAGCAAAGAACAAAGCTTATATTGTGTTAATGATTAATGCATAAACCCTGGAGGCTGCAGAAGTCTTCCTTGATGGAGTTTTGAGACACCTTTAACTATGGAATAGCCCTTCAGACTGCTGGTGCTGTTTCTGCAAAGTAAAGAAAACCCCTCAGAGTGAGCGAGCACCTTCCCCAAGGGGAACCTTCACTGTGCTTTACATATTCAAAGAAGAGTTAGCAAGTTAAAGACTTTTTTTTTTTTGAAACTGAATGTTCTTTCCTGTACTATTTTGAAAATACTGTTTTCATGATTGATTCTGTAAGATCCAAGATTCTTTGAGGGATAAAAAATAGCCAACCCAAGATAAAGAAGCTAAAACAAAACTGTAATAAAAATATCATATTCGACTTGTGAATTCTGTGCAAGCTTTTCTTGCACATTGCAGTGTTGTTAGCGCGTGATTCCTGAGTGTGAGATAGGAAACATATTATCCATCCATTCTGCAATAACAGCTTTACACGTGGTGGCAAAACCTTCAGAGCCTGACAAATATTTAGTGAACAGTTAGAGGGTACCTTGTATGCTAATGAAGCTTCAAACACAACCAGAAATCAAACTGTCAGACTCCAGAGAACTTAGAGCTGGGAAATACATTTTCTCCACAGAATGGAGTCAAATTGAGAGTCTTCTGGGGAGGGAAAAATCCAAGCTAACTTACTCCTAATGGGAGGGCAGAAAATAGTGCTGGATAAAGGGACAGTGAGAGCAATGGAGAGGCATGTCACATCATGGCAGAGTGTGTCAGCAACAGCTGGCAACTCAGTGTATTACTGTCTACTGTGGAGCATGGGGAGGAGGCGGTGGCAGGAGGGAGCCTTGGATACCATTCCAAGGAGCTGGAGGTAAATCCTTTTCAGGAAAGTGAAGTGCCTTCCAGGCAAGGAGCTAAGGGAGATGGTGGTAGATTGGCAAATTAGAGGCACAGTACCAATTGGCAGTAAGAAGAATGTTTTGGACAAACAGTTGGTAAGAAAGACAAACAACAGTCAGATTCCAGATAGGAAGACAGCAACATTAAGTGAGGTGTGTGTGTGTGTGTGTGCATGTGTCTGCGCGCGCATGTGTCTGCACGCGCGCATCCAAATGTGTGCACAAGGTAAAATCTGAATATCCAAACCAGGTGTGGTGGCTCACACATGTAATTCCAGCACTGAGGAGGCTAAGGCAGGAGGATTGCCAATGATCTTACAGATTAACTGGAACCCAAGGATCTAGGTAAGCGAAGAGCTAAAGATGGTGCCAGCTTTCAGTTTTGAGGGACCAGGGGACACAAGTCGAGTCAGGCTTAGGAGGCAAGCTGGCTAACAAGTCTTTCTTGTAGCAAAGTCAATCAGTGACTCTGTGCCAGTGCCAAGCTGATTTATTTAAATTAAAATTATAAGTAACTAGAGTTAGAATAAGAAATTAAAACATCTTTTTTCAAGTAAAACAACTTATTTTAATTTATTGTAGACATACCCCACAAGACTTAAGTTAGATTTATAAAATTGCAGCATATCTTCTGCCCTCTGATTAAATTTTGTATTATAAACCAGAGTGGGTAAGATGGCTCCACGGTTAAAGTGCTTGCTGTACAAGTGTGAGGACTGGCATTTGGGTCCCCAGCATGTGTGTAAAGGAGGGGTGGCACTGCAGCCCATCCACAGCTCCAACTCTTACGAGGTGGAGAACAGATATCTACAGCAAGCTGGCTAGTCAGAATAGCCCTGCCGGTGAACTCGGTTCAACTGAGAGACCTTACCTCAGTAAACAAGGACTCCTAACATCAACTTCAACCTTTAGATACATGCACACACATATCATACCCACAAACATGAACACACACACATGCATGCAGACCACACACATACAAAGACACTAAGCCACTCATATTACTTACAAATCTTCAAGTTTACCCAGGATTTACTGACTAAGGGCTGGGATACAGTCTGTTGACCATGGACCAATACCAGGTCCTACATGTGAAAGCAAAGGACAGGGGAACTGACTCCATGTGGTGCCCACTGAAGTTTCACTGAAGTGAGAGCTAGGCTCACATATGTGACAGCCACAATCTGTTCTTTAGAGAAAACACATGCCATGTGATGGGCAAAAGCTCCTTCCTTTTACACAATGCTGAAGTGAGCGTTTTGTGTTCTTCTTGTCATCCAGCTTGGTGCCATGGCTCTGGAGCAGAACCAGTCAGTGGAATACTATTATGAGGAGAACGAGATGAACTACACTCATGACTACAGCCAGTACGAAGTGATCTGCATAAAAGAAGAGGTCAGGCAGTTCGCAAAAGTCTTCCTGCCTGCCTTCTTCGCCGTAGCCTTTGTCACTGGGCTTGCAGGAAACTCCATAGTTGTGGCGATTTACGCCTATTACAAGAAACAGAGGACCAAGACTGATGTGTACATTCTGAACCTGGCTGTAGCGGACTTGTTGCTTCTGGTCACGCTGCCTTTCTGGGCAGTTAATGCAGTTCATGGGTGGATTCTAGGCAAAATTATGTGCAAAGTAACTTCAGCCCTGTACACAGTAAACTTTGTCTCTGGGATGCAGTTCCTGGCTTGTATCAGTATTGACAGATACTGGGCCATCACGAAGGCCCCCAGCCAATCAGGGGCGGGGAGACCCTGCTGGATCATCTGTTGCTGTGTGTGGATGGCCGCCATCTTGCTAAGCATACCCCAGCTGGTTTTTTACACAGTGAATCAGAATGCTAGGTGCACTCCCGTCTTTCCCCACCATCTGGGAACTTCCCTGAAAGCATCCATTCAGATGCTGGAAATCTGCATCGGCTTCGTGGTTCCCTTTCTCATCATGAGCGTGTGCTATGCCATTACTGCCAGGGCGCTCATCAAGATGCCCAACGTTAAAAAGTCTCGACCCCTCAGGGTTCTGCTCACAGTGGTTGTTGTTTTCATTGTCACCCAGCTGCCCTATAATGTTGTCAAGTTCTGCCAAGCCATAGATGCCATCTACCTGCTGATCACTAACTGCAACATGAGCAAGCGCATGGACGTCGCCATCCAAGTCACGGAGAGCATCGCACTCTTCCACAGCTGCCTCAACCCCATCCTGTATGTCTTCATGGGGGCCTCTTTCAAAAACTATATCATGAAAGTGGCCAAGAAATATGGATCCTGGAGAAGACAGAGACAGAACGTGGAGGAAATTCCTTTTGACTCTGAGGGTCCTACAGAGCCAACCAGTTCTTTTACCATTTAAATATAAAACTGTTCTCCTCTGCCTCTGCTTTTTGCTTGGATACATACACACACACACACACACACACACACACACACGCATGCACACGCACGCACATAGGAGTGATGGTTTTTCCTCAAATAAAGTATTTGTGCTACACTGAGACTCAATCATCAAACGCCAAACACTTGTTGCAATGTGTAACAAAGAGGGAGTAAGGGGTGGGGGTGGGGTAAGGAAGACAGACGCCAGAGAGTAAACAATTGGGCAAAGTGTGGAAACTAAAGCTAATGACAGGAGAACAGCTGGGCAAAAGAGAGAAAAGCATTGTGCTATAAAAGAGGAAATCTTTGTGTGTGAGTGTGTGCGTGTGTGTGTGTGTGGGGGGGTGTTTTGCATCTTCACTGCAGTGGTGGTTATTCAAATCTGATAGCAACTGTAATAATGTAATATAAAACACTGGGTAATGAGCACCCAGGACCATCCTGTACTATCTTTGTAACTTCCTGTGAGTAAACAACTTCAAAATAAAAAGTTCAAAGAAAGAAACATTGCCTTGAGTCCGGCAATCTAAAACCAATTAATAAACTTATGCTAAGAGATATTTATAATTATTTGTAATTATTTAAATTTTAATAAGTTTTTTTTACAAAATTCCAATGCTTAAATAATCACAACAAAACTTACTCTTTTTATCTTTTGTTTGTTTCTTAATTTATGAGCGATTTTATAACATAACACACAATAAAGAATGGCAATTAAAGAAAAAGGTCAAGCCCATAAAGATATTCACACATCCTGGTGAGTTCCTATGCATGCAATTTGCTTTCATGATGCCAACAAAGAAAATTATTCAAACACACGCTGGGTTCATCATGCACATTCTGGAAACCAGGCTTTAAAAATCATTGTTGTCTAGAGTCTAATTTTATAACTTCCTAAAGAACTTGCCCATGTTTGTTGGCCCGTTACTAAGAACTGGTGAGCAAATATACTATCCTATGTATAAAATTTATTTTTCACTTGAACATGTATTTAGGCAATAAGTACCACACATACCATTGTCACTGATACTTAAGACTGAACCCAAAACACATGCTAAGCTTGTGTTCTACCACGACCAGACACCCCAGACCCCACAACTTATCAAGTTACCTTTTCTCTTGGTACTGTTTCTAAGTTTGATAATGTCTCAGAGGCAGAATTTGCAGCTGTGATTGTATAGCAGTGAATGGGACCCACCATAGCACTAGCTATGGGGTGACAGACCCACAGAGAGCATCTCCACACAGCAGTGAGTGGGGACCCCGGCACTGTCCTAGCTATGGGGTGACAGACCCACAGAGAGCATCTCCACACAGCAGTGAGTGGGGACCCCGGCACTGTCCTAACTATGGGGTGACAGACCCACAGAGCGCACTCACCGCTGCTCCACCACTTCCTGCCGTTAACTACATAGCCATCTCCATCTCTCTGGATACTACATTCGATGTTCGTGGCATCACTTGATGAAACATTGGGCTCTAGAAAGGAACAATGGCTTGGTTTACAGGCAGGCAGAAATCAGTTGTTAGCCAAAGAGGCTTAGACAGAAATCACAAGTTCTTCAAGGACAGAGGCAGACTGGTTTTTATTTTATCTTTTTAATCTTTCTTTCTTACCTCTTCCCCCTTGGTCTTTTCCGAATATAGACAGTATAAGCATTCAGTCCCTCTGAGTGGGGAAGATGGAGGGATGAGGTGTAGGGTTGGCACTGACAATTGTGTCCCTTGTGCCTTTGCTCATGTCTGAGTCCGAATGCGAATGCGACTAACTCATCATTTTTTCTAATCACCAAAAATAGATAAAAACACTGACTTTGACTTTCCACAATGGGAATTTGCTACAGGCAGGCTGGATTTCTCTACTGTCATTAACAAGTCCTCTCTGTGCCTTGTAAGTGCTACTGGGAGTGTTTTGGCCAGGCCACACTTGCAACATTCGAATCTTCTCACCACTTAGGTAGGTCTCCAGAATGCGCTCAGTACAAAACCTTAAACACCCGTCAAGTCTGCTTACTGCATGGCATTTAGGAATCAGTCCTCTCTCTCCTTGTTCCCATACTGCTCTTTGCTTCTTTATGTATTTTATTTTTGGGTTTGTGTGTGTACGTGTGTACGTGAATGTGTGTGTGTGTAAATGTGTGTGTGTGTATTAGTGTGCTCACATATTAGAACACGTGTGTGTATATGGCTACAACTCACAACTTTAGTTGTCATTTCTCCTCAGGTTCGTGTCCACCCTGGGCTTTCCCCGCCCCCTTTGGAGACAGGGTCTGTCATTGCCTGGTATTGGCTTGGTACTTGGTGATTGGCTAGCTTGGCCACCCAGTAAGTCTCATGGGTCTACCTGTCTCCTGCACCCACCAGTGCTGTGATTACGACTGTGTTACAACAGACTTTTTATGTGGATTCTGGGACTGGAACTCAGGTCCTCATACTTGTGTGGCAAACATTGCGCAGGCGGAGTCATGTCCCCAGCCCTCCCCTGCCTCTTCAAGGGACATGCATTTTGTTCCAAAGCTCCAGAAGCTGTTTTCAGAGATGGAGTTGGAAGGCTTATTTCATGACCTTAGGTTGGTGCTTTGTAAACACTATCATTACATCATTCTGTAGGTGTTCAATACATGACTTTTGATGATTCAAGTAGAAAGAACTTTGTTATTATATAAACAGTTGTAGAAAATAATAAAATCTGGCCATCAGTGAAAGGTCATATTATGGCCAAACCAAATTGAATTTAATTCTGAACTCAATTTGAGAAGATAATTTTCATCTTTAAAGGAATTTTTGAATTACTTTCTCAGGACACAAGTGTGCCAACACCATTCTCCTCAGCGTGGCCCTGCTTTCTGCTCCACACTGTGGCTTTAGCAATCTTTCCACAGGTCTAAGTTCTGTTTTTCTAGGGCTATGGAATGGTTAAGAAGTTATATTCACATAAATATTACAAAGGTGACCATCAAGGCACATCAGCTGTAGAAACAATGTAATTTAAAAGACATCACTCAACTGCTGACGCTGAAGTAGACTACCAGAGTATACCTGGAACCCTCCCAAAGGAGAGGAGTGTTTATCCTGGACATGTAAGGATGCCAGCATTCCAAACCAGACTCAAAATAAACACATTTCTGGCTGTGAGCAAAGTTGGCTACAGCCAACCTACATCCTACACTGCTTCAGTCCGTCAGCCACATTCACTCTGATGGTGATGAAAGGAGACAGGCCATGGCTTATTCGTACCTGTCATACAGAAGACGGAGGTGATATCTCCACGCAGGAGAGGCTCCAGCCACTGCTTCTTCTGCTGCTCGCTGCCATACAGGTGCAGTACCTCCATGTTGCCTGTGTCTACAAGTGAGAACGAAGTGTTTGACCTTTGCCACTACCAGTCCTAAATCCACATTTATGAAGAGAATGCAGACAATAGCTTTTTAGATAAAGTGTTTGTTGATGAAAATATTCTGAAATGCACATTAAATATAACACTTAATGGTGGCATGTCATATTACATGGCACTCAGTTCACAGTTCTTTAACTTTTTCTGAATCTTGTACGCTTGCTCTGTTCATCCCATTGGCTTTACAGAAGTCTAACTCAGTTAGGAATGAAGGAGCCATTCCTGGCTTAAATGCTGCCTGCTATGATTCTATGCTGTGTCTCCTGTGCTGCTGGGGAACTGACACTTCATACCGAGCCTCAAGATCCTAAGTGTCCACTCTGTTCTTCAGGCACACACATTGGACCAGGCCACTGTGAAAGTTAGTTGTGGGTAAGTAAACTAACTCCTTATGACTATGTTCTCTGCAAGAACCTCTACTCACCCGCTCTGAGAAACCTCCTTGCCCTGAGCTGTAACAGTTCTCATTTATCTTTCATAGCTTGCTTTGTTTTGGTTGGTTGGTTTTTCAGACAGGGCTTCTCTGTGTAGCCCTGGCTGTCCTGGAACTTGCTCTGTAGACCAGGTTGGCCTCGAACTCAGAACTCAGGGATCCATTTCACAGATTGATTGCTCAGTTTGTTTCTGAGGTGGGTTTTCTCAGCCGAGCCTGGCTGGCATCAAACTCCCGCTTCTGCCTCATTAGTGCTGGGATTACAGGTGTGTGCTCTAAGATAGATCTTGACTGGCACATGCATTCCTCTGTGAAAGACAGCAGCAGAACCCTGGAGGATCCACTCGATCCACTCCAGTCTTGAGGGGTGCTGTCTAGTGCACTGACCACTCTGCCTCACGGCCAAAAAGTTGTTTATTATGAGCAAGATGTTCTCTCTGCTTTCCTCTGATTTCCATTCCTGTAAAATGTTCTTAGAATTCTGATAGAATCTTCTGGACATTTGAAGGAAGGTTTTCAGTGTTACCTCCTGGGACTTGGAGGATGATTGCTTAAATGTTGATGAAAACTGACAATTATAAATCAAGCAAGATATATTGGCAAGTGTTGGAGAGACTGCTTGGGGGCTAAGGGTACCTCCTGCTCTTGCAGAAGATCTAGTTCAGTGCCCACCATGATGTCAGGCGGCTCAGGATAGCTCGTACCTCCAGCTCCAGGGATCCTACTTTCTTTTCAGGATACTTGCATACACACAGGCATGCACAAACATAGATAACATTTTTAAAAAAATTTTAAAACCATCCTTTAAAAAAATATATCTTTACACTCTGTTCAGATACTAATACTGAATCAAGAGGAACAGAATTCCTAGTAGAGCAATACAAACCTAACATTGTTTTTAAGTGAGGGAGAAAAGAAGTCCTCAATTATAATCAACAGAGTGGATTATCTGCTTTCTTTGCTGGTTTGAAATTCAGTGTTACTTGTTATAGCTCAAACAAAATAAAAAACTGAAACTTTTCAAAATTAAGCTGGGAGCAATGGCTCACATTGGTAACCCTAGCATTTGGATGCAGGAGTAGGATGGAGACAGAAGGGTCAGGAGTTCAAGGTTATTCTTGGCTACACACTAAATATAAGGACAGCCTGGGATGACATGAGATCTTCCTTAAAAGAGAAAGAATATGAAATTATCAGTTTTACTCTGAGAAATTGACAATTTTTTTATTTATTGTTTGGGGAAAAGTCTATTTTTAAAAAATCAGCTCAAATGCCCTAAATTATTGTAGTGACAGGTTTGGAAATTAAAATAGCTGTTTCATCACTCTGATATACAAAATTGTATGGATTTTTGAAGGGAAGACACAGAAAGACAAACTGGAAGGGTGTGTGTGTTTTCTAAGCTTGGGCAACTACGTAGAAGTCAATCATCCGGCGTAAGGATCCTCTGACAGAATGCAGTTCTTGGTTTTCCTTGTCTTTCTGCTTAAGAGAACTGCTTAGTCATTTCTTAGCCAAAAACTAATTTTAAATTGTCAACAATCTGTAGTATTATTTAAGCAGAACAACTAACAGACTTGTGACATTTCTATCTTAGGAAACCCCCATGAGTGTCTGGTGTGACAAGTGACCTCACAAATGAAGTGGAAAGACCACAGCAGGGCTGCAAGCAAGCTTCCGGCAGCCAGACCTGGCACATTATGCATGGTCCGTTACTGTGCTACAACTCTACGCAGTGGAGTATGTCTAACACACTCTAAGAACAAAACAAACTAACACATTAGGTTAGAAAACATCTGAATGTCAAATACAAGGAAAGGTGGTTTCATGAGACTTGTGTTAGATAAATATAAATAGAGGAATATTTATCCATCTACCTACAAACCCATGTGTGCACACATGCCACAGATTGGGTCACAACGTAAGGCATGTCTTATAAGGAAAAGTAGGGAAAAAAAAGCTTTGAACTTCAGGATTACCAGTTCATTTCCTTTTATATAAAATCACACAGCATGTGCAGTGTGTCACAGCAGCATGGTAGGTTTCGGGTAAGATCTTCAGACACTGAGGACACATTTCTCTTACCATAGCTACAGCACAGGGCGGCAGTGACTTGAGAAACTGGTGCAGATAGAAGGGAGACCATGCCAGGAATAAGCACTATCAGAAGCCTATCAACTAACCTGAATTTGACACACAAGGGAGTCAGTTTAGCGTGAGCCACTTTGCTAAACCTGGACTCTTGAGATCCGCTACACTTGCATACCCCCCTTCTGACTCAACACGGTGCTGGCTCTTCCTCAGGGCCATACAATCAAAGTCAGCGTTCGGTCCCTTGAGCAGTGCACTATAGGAAATCCTGCCAATTGAGTTTACAGTGTTCTGGTAACATGGCTGCAAGCCCCTGACAGAAACAAAGGCAGCCTCCTGGGAAAAAGCTTCACACAATGGAGAGACTGGGAGATTAACTAGCTGTAGAAATATCCAACCCCAACCAGGAAGTGCAGCGTTTACATAACCAGTCCTCTTGGTGGCTACTTCTGTCTACTGGCAGTCTTAACATAATGACACTGATTAAAAGAACAGCCCACTGGGGACCTCAAGTCCACTTGAGAATGCATTTGGAGTAGCTCTAAAATTATGCCCAAATTTGTACTTGAATGACTTAGTATAGGAAAAACTTCCTCATAATAAAGAAATTTTAAACCCTGTTCAAAGTATTAAAGAAAACTCCGTGTAGTAACCTGGTGCTTGGCAGTTAAAAACATCTGGAGCGAAAAAGCATTTTCCTGTCTCTTCAGCAATCAAGGCATAGTCCACCTGGCTGAGACCGCTCACAGCTGGCAAGAACAAGTTCCACAGTCCCTCTGCTTTGGCCATTTCCTGTCAAGGGGATGGACAAGTGATCAAAATTTACCAAACAAAGTAGCTCATTTTAAAGTTATTGGTGGTAATGTTTTTTGAAATTTAAAAGTATTTATGGAGTTATTTCATTGTATCATATTCTGTGTTAAATCAAGGGGTTAGCAACTCATTGAAAGTCAGTAGTTGCTTAGTAATTAAGGAAATGTCTTGCTTTCCAGGCTCCCTTAGATTTGGCTCTACAACCAAATTTGCACACTTCAATGCTTCTCATTCAAACAGGATGGTTACAACCACTCCCGCACACATTTGAGTGTAAATCGTACATGTATTGCGGGTAACATATGAAAACATGGCATGTGACCTGACACTACAGTGCACAAATGTCCTGCTTGGCTCTGCTCCTTGTTGGACAAACCCAGGGCCTTGCATGCACAAGAGGGGAGTCCTTCCACTAAGTCAGAGCTTAGCCTCCATATCCCACAGCCTGCTCTGGCTTCAGCTCACTTCCGAGATAGTCAGTGAGGAGCAGCATAAAGAGACTATTGCATCAAAGCCACATGCAGGATGCCAGGTAGCCCAGGTTTGATAGGAGATTCTTTTTCCCCTCCCCCTCCCTCCCCTCTCCTCCCCTCTCTTCTCCCTCCCTCCCTTCCTCTCTCCTCTCCCCTCCCTCCCCTCCTCTCCCCTTTCCCTCCCTCTCCCCCTCCCTCCCCTCCTCTCCCTTCTCCCCCTCCTCTCCCCCCTTCCCTC